GTTGTTTGCTGTGGTTGTATACTATTTTTGTTTACTTTCGTCATGTAGTTTTTGTCATGTTTACTTTGTTTATTTTCTATTACGTGTTGTAGTTCTTGTGTTACCAAAACAGATCTGCAATTCAGGGTCAAGGCTGATTCCCCCAAAGTTTGCAAAGTGCAAAAAAATATCAACGATTTTTCATGACTTTTTCTATTTCTTTGCTGCTTCTGTTTTTCTTACTCAAGTCTCTTAAGAGACTGGGTGTTTCTTGTTGTCCTCTTCCTCTTTACTTAGGAGCCTAAGATTAGTTTCTTAATGACTCTTGTGTGTTTTTTATATTTTTTGTTAATTTTTGTTTTCAGAAATTTTGTGTTTTGATGATTAGGTTTATTAGTTGTAAGAAATAAACTATATTAATAAGCTAAGTATAAGGAATTTTGTTATGTAAAACTTATTTAATTGTAATTAAAATATGTTTATTACTTCTTCTGCACTATCTACTCCTATTATTAATATCAAAAATCTCACATATAATATTTTAAGAATAGTATTGTTAAAGGCAAAAAAATTTCAGATCTAAATAATTGTTCAAAATATGGAAAAGAAATTATTTTATATTCTTTCAAGCATTTATAACACTATCTTGTGGGTATGTCTTTCATAAAATTTGTATTGAAACAAGCTTTTATTTACTATTTCAAACACATATCTATCCCTGGATTGTGGAGATAATATAGAAATTTTAAATCAAGCTGATGCTCTTGGTATCTTTTCTGATTTGCTATTATATAATCTCAAGGAGGCCTTCCAATCAAGTAGAATTTCATCTTTGATAAGCAAAATATTTATACTATCTTCACTACCTATATGGATAGAAAAGATCGAGGCTATAGCAACTCAACAAATTAAAAGTAATTTGAAATATACCAAATATTCTAAAGATTTTTCTTCATTTTTCTACCTATAGACTTTTTTTAGTTCTCTCTTCAACCTCAAAGTTCTTTGAAACCACTTGTATACTTAACTTGCAAACATATTGTTTTTTATAATTGTATTGATAATCTACAAAAACTGTGTCTTATATATCTATTAACTGATATAAAACCAGAAGAGAAAGAAGAAATAAGTATTAATAATGAAAAACAATCTAATACTAGCAATAAAAAATATTCTAATAAAGAACTTATCTACGCTCAAGAAGAAAGCAAAGAAAGCAGTTAAAAGAGAAAATTCACTCATTTTGAAAAAGCTTATCAAGGAATTGTCTGCTCCAATTCTATAGCAAAGTTCTTCTAGTAGTATTATTTCCCTCAGATTTTATTGAACTAGATGATAAGATCATCAATATCGAAGATGATAATAAAAAGACTATTCTAAAAGTAATATATGTATATTATTATTTCAGAAAAGGGTATAGATTATAGTTTGATCATTATAAAAAAACATATAGTGAAGATATGTCTAATTCTCTAGTTAATAATAAAATTCAAGAGCAATTACCAGACCAAGACAAAGTTTCAAAGATTAATCTTAGAAAAAAGAGAAAAAGGACAAGCAATAAAATCTTTAAACTCTTTGATGAAGTTGGAGGGGAAGGAAAGATCTATTGTATTAAATCTTTTTCTGTGTCAACTATTTCGAAACTGGACATGGATGATATTGATTATATAAAGCTAAAGAAGGGAGAAAAAGAAAAAACTTTTTTTGGTTCTACTCTGGAAAAATATCTGAAATCAAAATTTTACTAAGAAACTCATTTTTTATTATCGATTTCTCCAATGAGACAAGAACCTTGGGGTTCAAAAAGCACAAACTTATTACTCTAGATATGGATAAGCAACCAAACAACAAGAAGACCAGGCTTTCTTCAAACAGTGACAAAGTTTTCAGCTTTACAAAAACTGAAGAAAACAAAGAAAACAACAAGAAACTTGATAACAACAATAACAATAACAACAATAACAGTACTAGGCCAGAAACAGATATACTAGTTAACTTGACTCTTAACAAGTCTGATAGAAACTGGGCGAACCAGATAGAAAAGGAAGAAACAACTACAAAAAAAATGAAAGCGAAAATTTTAGTAGTCAACAAGAAACACGTGTAAATCACCTAAATATAGCAAGTTGTGTAAATAATATAAACAATAAATAAAAAAAACACATGTCTATAGGCAACTAATCAATTTTTGTGTATCCAACTACTTTAAACAAATCATCTTTATCTAATACATCTAAGGTACAAAGCAACCAAAATGAAGAAACCAAATCCAAACAGTGGTTTGATCTATTTGTGAAGCTAAAGAAAAGAAAAGCAATTTTATACTAATACTTCTTCCAGATAAAGAATATACTCAAAAACAAAAATGCACTAATTATTGATATCCAAAACTTAAACAACATACCAACTAACGATATTATTGCAAATCTAGCTATGAGTTTGAAAGAAAACCTCATAGTTGCTAAAACCAATACTTCAAGAGGAAAAAGAACCTACCTTGAACTTATTCTTAAAGATAAGAAAAAGATGCAATATTATGTAGCTGAAAGCATTTCTCTCTTCAAGCAAACTCTGTTTGGATATATTCTAGTTAATCTAAACTGATCATGTTTAACTATAAAGTTAAAGAATACCCCTATGGGTGATACCAAATATATTAGCAACCACATTGTGAAAGCTTTTCACTATATTAGCCAAATAGTATCTGTTAAACCTCTCTTCTATAAAAAAACAACAGTCTGCTTAGATCAATGGTTAGTTACTTTTGAAACTACAGATGATCCAGAAATTGCTTCAAGAATCCCTAGAACTACTCATATTGGCAACCATAAAGTAACAACAGAATAGAAAGAAACCTCAAAAATCTGTTTCTATTGTGAAAGGGAAGAGCATATCAAGGAACTCAAAGATTTAATAGAAGCTAGACGTCTTTTTAGAGAAGCTAGATCTAGAATAGAGAAGAAAAAAATATAAAAATCAGAGATTACAAAAACTAGCTTTAGCTTTAGCAACCTATACAAATCGACATGAAAGAATTAATTTAGGATGAAAAGGAAACCACAGTTCCAGATCCAATTACAACACCTGATAAAATCTTAAATCCAAATAAGAGCTTATCTAGTAACATGAAACTAGACTCTTTAACTGATAATATCAACACCAACCTTGAAACCAGTGAAACAACTGCTAACCTAAACAATAAGGCAGAAGAATCTAACTTCAACTCTACTAAGCAAGATAAAACTCCATTTATGATAGTAGTATCAAGAAAACATAAAGGCAAAAGCTTCAAAAAGAAAGCTAACACAGGACCAGCTATATTGAATCCCAAGAAGCTCCAAGCAGAATTTTTTGTGATCCAAGAATCATCACTAAGAAAATTATCTCTTAGTGTAGCTTACAAACTCTATAATTTCTATAATTAAAATTGCTATACTAAATGTAAAAGATCTAAACAACAGACCTAAAGCTCAGAAAACTCTTACTCTTTTAAAATCATACAATTTAGATATTATGATACAAGAAACCAACTTAAAAGACTCAAGCACAAGACAATTTTTATCACAAATCTGGGGCTTCGACTCTTTTTGGTCTTTTAAAACTGCAATATTAGCAGACAAAAATAATATCAAGTTTACTGACAAAGAAGAATCATATAACGGGCAAGTTATTAAAGCCAAGACAAAAATTAGATATCAAACTTTTTCATTCACTAATGTTTATACTCCACCTAATCTGAACAAAAGAATTTTTTTTCTTGAAAATTGGTCTCCAGATATCTCTAATAACAATATAAACATTATTGCAGAAGATTTTAACACTAATCTAAATCCAGAAACCAATAGGATAAACCAAGCACTAGCACAATATGATCAATCCAAAGGTCTTTTAGAAAACTTAACAAAAGATTATATAGACACAGCACTCTTTTCTAAAGAAAGCCCTTTTCTTATCTATTATCAAACTACTCAGAAAGATCAAAAAATAGCAACTCACCTAGATTATATACTAATTGAAACAAGCTATAGTTATCTGTATGTGAATACATACACTCGCTTTGGCAACTCAGACCACTTATTAGTGAAGAGCGAAATTAATCTCAAGCCCAAATATCTGAAGAAATCTCTTTGAAGATTTAACAAAAAACTCTGGAATTCATCTAAATTCAAAACAAATATCAAGACACTAAAGATTGGGACTGGTACAAGTATGTAATCCAATCTATAGCAAAAGCTATTAAAGCAGAACTAGCTATCAAGAAAAATATTCAAAAGCTTCATAAAAGACTTAATAGCTTTAATAACAAACTTGCAAAAAACCCAGAGCTTAAGAAGCTAAAACTAGTTATAGAGAATCTAAACCTCAAACTATAAAAAGAACTTATTTTTCTATCTGACAAATGGTAGCTAAGATCTAATTCTAAATGAATCAAAGAAAGCGAAATATTTTTTTGCACTATACAAAAAAAGAAGCATAGGCATTTGTAACTCCAAGATCCAAATTTCCAATGAATCTGCCTTGGCTATACAAAAACAAGTTATGGACTATATTAAAGAATCCTACAGAAATATTTATAAAAAAGAAGCTATTGATAGAGAGGCAGCTCTGCAGCTCACCGAGAATTTAGCACAGGTCTCTTCTAAACAAAATTTCTCTTTAATCAAACTTATTTTAATTAAAGTGAGCCAAGTAATTGATAAACTTCTAAATAACAAAACACTAGGAATTGAGGACTTATATATGAGTTCTTTAAAGACACTAAAGAAATTATCGTACCAAAACTAATAGAACTGTTTAAACTGTTTAACAAAGTTTTGAAAACTAGGATTATCTCAATATCATAGAGCAAAAGCCTTATCACATTAATACCTAAAAAGGCTGACAACTTATTGGAGCTAGGCAACTAAAGATCTATATTTCTGGTTAACTCAAATATTAAAATTTTCATGAAAATTTTGGCTAACAGAGTTAATACTATCTGCAACGATTTAATTAGCCCAGTACAACAGGTATTTATATCTGGAAGATCAATCACAAACACAGTATTAGATATTATTATAGTTATAGAGAATCTAAACCTCAAACTATAAAAAGAACTTATTTTTCTATCTGACAAATGGTAGCTAAGATCTAATTCTAAATGAATCAAAGAAAGCGAAATATTTTTTTGCACTATACAAAAAAAGAAGCATAGGCATTTGTAACTCCAAGATCCAAATTTCCAATGAATCTGCCTTGGCTATACAAAAACAAGTTATGGACTATATTAAAGAATCCTACAGAAATATTTATAAAAAAGAAGCTATTGATAGAGAGGCAGCTCTGCAGCTCACCGAGAATTTAGCACAGGTCTCTTCTAAACAAAATTTCTCTTTAATCAAACTTATTTTAATTAAAGTGAGCCAAGTAATTGATAAACTTCTAAATAACAAAACACTAGGAATTGAGGACTTATATATGAGTTCTTTAAAGACACTAAAGAAATTATCGTACCAAAACTAATAGAACTGTTTAAACTGTTTAACAAAGTTTTGAAAACTAGGATTATCTCAATATCATAGAGCAAAAGCCTTATCACATTAATACCTAAAAAGGCTGACAACTTATTGGAGCTAGGCAACTAAAGATCTATATTTCTGGTTAACTCAAATATTAAAATTTTCATGAAAATTTTGGCTAACAGAGTTAATACTATCTGCAACGATTTAATTAGCCCAGTACAACAGGTATTTATATCTGGAAGATCAATCACAAACACAGTATTAGATATTATTATAGTTATGAGAAATCAAAATAATCAGACCAAACAGTACTGGCTTCTTCTCTTGAATTAACAAAAGGCTTTTAATAGAGTCAATCATGACTTTATTCAAATAGTTCTAGAAAAAATAAACTTTGACTAAAAGTTTAGAAATATAATCAGTTCACTCTTTGCAGCACAAAAAGCATATATGAGGAATGATCAACAAAAACATGGCTTATGGCATTTTTTGCAAAAATGAGTTAACTATACTATCACATAAAGCAGGTATTTTTTTATATAATTTAACATTTAAAATATCAATTTGTATAATAAAATTTTTGTTAATACTTCTTTTTTTAAAATGCTATATATGATTAAACATGATCTAAATTTAAATTTTATAAATCTAGTTGTCAATCCTTGCTGCAGAGTCATAGAAATTCATTTGTGTAATTAACTAATTTATGTTGATCCAACAGGTTTATACTAATAATAGATTGTAAGGGTGTGGCGACTTAGTGAAGTGGTCAAGTTGTCACCCCAAGCGGCAAGTCAAGAGTTCGAACCCCACCAGTGACGAAAATTCGAATTTCTATTTGTGTTATGATAACTGTCTTCTTAAGGTTGGGATATCCGATCCTATAACTATAGTCAGACCAAATAGTGGCTGGGATAATCACTACCCAAAATTGGGTTTGTGCCTGACCCGGGATAGCTTA